ACACACATACATATACATACACATACATATATACACATGTACATATGCACACATGCACATATATCTTCCTCTGTCCACAATTTCTGACACAGACCTCCTAAAACTCTTACCGATAGGAATACTAGGAAAATCTAATATTTGGTCTGATCCGAGTTCCTGGCACAGACCGTTTAAGGCCTTTACAATTTCCTACGTGACAGGAGAATCTTTTGTTCTGATGAGGTAACTTTTGATGACAGCCCCTAGATAGCCTCAGAATAGAGGATGACGCGTAGAGCAATGAAGCACATGATTAGAAGACTGGAACTTTCCTATTCAATACTGTACTTATTGGTAGCAAGGCAAGAAAAAAAAGAAAAGAGAAACATCCAGATTGTAAAGGAAGAAATACAACTGTCTTTCTTAACAGAATACACGATTGTCATGCCCTGTATGATAATGGTACCCATGCATATATGTTCGAGTGACTTTTAACAAACCAGCCAAAGTAATTCAATGGGGGAAAAGGTCTTCAATATATGGTTTTGGAACAATTGAAGATCTGTACACAAAAAGGGAGCTTCAGCTTTTACATTTTACTACATTAAGAAATGGGCCACAAAAGGGGGGGGTACAGACTTACATGTAAACATTAAAACCTATATAGATTTTATAATAAAACGAGAAAAAAACCTTTGACGTTGGACTGTGGAAAGATTCCTTAGGATAATATTAAAAATACAATTCATAAAGGAAAAAAAATACGCTGAAAAACATGGTTTAAAATGTCAAGAAAGACAAGAAAATATTTGCATATCATGAGTATGTGACAAAAGGGCTTCCCTTTCTGGAATATTTAAAGAATTCTTATAATTCAATAAGATAACCAGTTAAAAGACAGCAACAGAATAGACAGTTCTATAAAAATAAAAGAATGCTGAATAAGCACATAAAAATAGTCTATTGTTAGTAAAACAAAACACTAAAACTGCAATGACATATCACTATTAACCCACTAAAATGGCTGAAATCAAAATGCTGATGGCAAGGATGTATACCCAATGAATTCTCATATATTGAGAAAGCAAAACAGTACAATCACTTTGGAAAACACTGTTGAAGTTTCTTACAAAGTCAAACACACAGTTTACCTAGGACCTAGCCATTCTGTCTGTTATGATTTGAATCTACATTGTTCTCACATGAGCTAATGTGATGAAGGCTTGATCTTCAGTACAGCTGTATTCAGAGGTCAGGCCTTAAAAAGTAACTCCATCAGTGGGTTAATCTACTGATGGATTCCTAATTTGATGGCATTTTGGGGAGATGTTGGAAACTTAGCAGGTGGGCCTGCTTGAAGGAAGCAGGTCACAGGGCCGTGACCTGCAGCACTGTACCTTGTTCCCAATACCTTTTTCTCAGGCTGTCTCTGATTTCTGTCTGCCATGAGGTGTGCCACTTTGTTCTACATGGACTGAAACTTTGGAAACTGTGGCCAAAATAAATCTTTTCTCCTTTATTTATTCCAGGTATCTTTCATAGTGACAGGAAGTTAACACACAACTTTAGGTATTTACTTAAGAAAAATGAACACATAATGTTTGGAAACAAACCCTGTATTAATACAGTGATATGTACATTCACGATCTTAATTTTTCGACTATTCTGGTTGGTAAATTTGTCCCATGATTCCAGCTGCAGCCAAATTGCAGCTTTAATTCTTTTCACAATTCCAGAATCGTGGAACCAATTCTGCAATCAGAAGTATGGAAAGAGTTAAGTTTGTGAACAAAGGTGTATTTGACAAAATAACCTGTATTTTTTTTATTTTGACCTTTAAGTAGACATATAGACTTTATTACATCCACTTAATGGAATACTACTCAGCAATAAAAAGAACAATTAACTGATATATACAATTCTTGTATAAATTGCAAGTGCATTACACTAAAGGGTAGATACCTTTTACATGATTCTACTAATACGACATTCTGGGGCAGAAAATAGATCAGTGGTTACCAGAGGGTAGGAATGGGAGAGAAGTTAACTACAAAAGAGCAAAGGAAACTTCTGAGGATAATGGAAACACTCTATTGACTGTTGTGGTAATACAAATTATACATTTGTAGAAACTCACAGAACTACACTAAAACTTTATTTTATGTAAACTTCAATAAACTTTAATAAAATTATATTCATACAACTGTACAGTATACAATCATTTTAAAAATGAGATGAAGAGGACTGGGGATATAGCTCAGAGACCACATACAAGGCCCTGGGTTTGATCTCCAGCACCAAATAATCATGACGATGATGACAACGATGATGATGACAATGATGATGATGATGATGATGATGATGATGACTGATGGAGCCACATATGCTGCTAATAAGATAATCTCTACCATGTACTTTTGGGAGTAAAAAGCAGGTACAGAAGCAAGCACCTCCCCTCCCTGGTAAGCAGAGGCAGTGGGGCAGACTGCAGCCCTTCCAGGGGGAGAACCAACAGTGTCTCCTGAGATCCGCGCCATGTTGGAACTGAGGACTCTGTGAAACCAAATGACCATACTGCCTCCCTGCTAAGCAATAGTGAACCTACTGCTACATGGCCTAGAGTCAAATATCTCACTTCCCCTCTACCCCCCCCCAGCCCATTAGCAAGTGGGAACCAGAAATCTGAGCGTCTCCTGGGAGGTTGACCATAGCAAATAAGGGGGACTTCCTTCTACCATTTCTTTGAAGGCAAATATTTTTATTACTGTTTTGCTCTTTTCTGATTAATGGTACTGCTCTATTCAATATTCTGTTTTGACAAGTTCTATAGTGTTCTATCTTTCATCTCATTTTGATATACGTGGTTGAAAGAACAACTATTATAAAGATAACAAAATATACTGTGATACCTATTACTGTTATCCCGGTAACCTGCTGTGAAGTTCTGTACCAATTTCACTGTATGATCTTAGTTGGCTTTATTCTGACTTGTTCTGTTGTATACTTTCAAAATAAAAATTTTTTTTAAAAAGCAGGTACAGAACAATAAATGCAGCATTTTCCTATTTATGGTAATACTGACTGTCTCTGGGGAAGGTGGCTGGAGGACCATTTTGTATTATTTGAGATTTTTCCCTACATACCTATATTACTTTTAATTAGAAAAAGTAGGAAAAACATGTACAGGTCAACAAAAACTCACAGATATCAGTACAGGGGATGGAGATGTGTAGGCTTGTGAAAACATGTGGGGAAATACAGAACACTTTATCTTAGGGCACTCAATAAATAGCTAGAGGAAACGAAGTATTTGGAGTCAATTCAGAAAGCAGATCCCAGGAAGATCTCTATCTGAACAACAGGTACTTGGCAAACACAGCCCCTACTTTCTACAAGCAGCTAAACTGAGACTGTTCATGTTAGACAAGATGAGGATGCAACCAAATATCCTCGATGTTCTTGGGGCCAGCTTTTTCTCAGCATTCCTTTGTAAGCACAGAGTGTGCCCTAACCTCAGCCTTCTAAGGATGGGAGCAGAGTTACCCTCAAGACTACTGTGGTGATCTGAGTACCATATCCCAGCACCCAGAGGGTCCTAAGTAACCCTTCTGTCAGTCCTTTTGAATCAGAAGCTTCCATCATTTTCCAAAAGAATAAAATGGTCTGTACAGTCTCAGGACACTTCAAATGTCAAGATAATCTCAGCTCTTCAGCTCTTTTACCATACCAAAGCTTCAAGAAGAAGGAAGGTTGGTCAGTAAGCAAGGCCCATTTGGGGCGTTTGGCAGAAGAACTCTGGTTAGGCACAGATTCTTTCAGAAAGCTTGATACCTCTGATCACAAGTTCCAGAATACAAAGTGGACACAGAGGAAATGTGGTAAAACTCAGTCAGTCAGCCTTAGAAATTATTCTGTTCTAGCTCTATTTGAATATCCTTCCGTGAAGCCAGCTAGCCCTGGCTTTATCTGGCCATTGATATTAGGACTAGAAGCACAACTGGCTTTTCTAGCTATCATTCCATGGAATGACCATGTAGGTTCTATCTCTTCCCTTCACCCCACAAAAAACTGTATTTCTACGTAAAACTCTACAAGGCCGGATGGAGGATAAGGTATAGCAAACGCATAGAGCAGAGTTGGGTAAAAGCTGTAATAACCTAAGACCCCCTAACTATCGCACCGTGAAGCCTGTTCTGTATAAGCCCGCCTGCTGCTTTCCCTCTTCTTCCCCCTTCAAATCTAACTAGGTTAAGTTTTAACTTCCTAAAAGGCCATAAAACAAAGGCCTGAGGTAATAGCTCCTGACAACCCCCTTCACTAACTGGTAGGCCGTCACAAATTGTGTTAATTGCATTAGGTTATAATAGCTTCGTTTGTACCTGTGTGTTCCTTTCCCTCTGGGCAAAGGATTGATATGTTAATCAATGCTCTCCTCTGTAAAGAATTGTAAAATCTTACCTAATTGCTATGTTAATCATTGTTGCCCTCTACAAGTGACAGTTGTGGTGCTGAAGTAGGGTAACTAAGGTTGTTAACTGCTGTTAGACTTCTCTATTCTTTGCTAAGAAAAACAAGATTTCTTCTCATCTAAACTTGCTAGTATGCAGGGAGACTTGCAATTGCCGTTTCTGCTTTGTAGTGCATCACACCCCCAGCCCCTTCCTTACATTGTGTGACCAGCAGCTGTTTGTGGATTTACAAGATAAACGCCCTGACTTTTAGCTGTGAGGGGCACAGTCTCCAAATTGGCTCCTGGAGGCTGTGTCACCAGGCCTGGAAATAAAGCCTTTGCTTCCCAAATTTTGATTTCTTGCTTCCTTGGATTTTATACCAGGGTCCGAGTTATCACAAAAGCCAAGCCCTTTCCAGATAATTGTAGATTTTTTAATGCAGGAGGGAACTTACAGTAGTCTTGTTTACTCAGGAAAACATGAGGCACTGTGAGCCACCAGGTTTTTAACTCCAGGGCAATGGGCCATGACCCAGATTGTCTAATCAGTGGAAGGATTACGAACACTTACCGGGGGAAGATGGCAGTCATCAGGGCTGAAGCATAGCCAGGCTTGCAGGCTCCCTCTGAAAAGTTGGCGTACTTGGTGGCTAACTCGGCAGGCCTGTGATAGAGAAGGAAAGTCAGTTTGCCAAGAACCAAATAATCAGTGTGTTATTAATTCATGAAGAACTACAGAAGCTAAAACCTTGAATAACGTTCTATTCCCTTCAATTAGCACTTTAAATCCTTTTCCATACCACAAGTCTTATGATGATAAAAAATCCAAAGCCCTATGAGAATAGACAGATCAATAGGCAAGGTTCCTCAATGGAATCTGTAAAAGGAATGTGCATAGATTCTCTGCAGGAAACTTGATACAAAAGAAATCAGGACCTCCATCCCGCTTCAAGACTGAGAGGGTGGTGAAGCTTTCTTCAGTATAGAGTTGCTCAGGCTTTGACGCTGCCAGAAGTACGGCCCTTTTCACCTTCCTGGTCTGTCCCTACATGCCATTTCTTTTGTACAGCAGTATGACCAAGCCATTGGTAACCATTCACAGTGACCCAAATATAGTAGATACAATAATGTGTGTCATGGGTAGTAGAACTCTTTTATTGAGCATGCTTTCCTGGTCTCTGCCTAGAATAATTCCTTGTTCTTCCCCTCCTGGTTTATGCCTTCAGGTCCTTTACAATCCTACTGAGATACCCGTTCACTGGGAGTGACTCCATGCCCCACAGCTCAGGCTGTGGCCCTCAGTGCTCTTGCTGTTCCTCCCCCGTCAATCACATCACAGGTTCGCTCTATCTGCACTGCCATTCTGTAGGCCAACTGTTGCTGATTATGTCACCACGCTGTAAATGTAAGGTCACAGGCTGATCCCCACCCCCAATCCATTTTATTTCAAGGAGAATAAGAAAAAAGAGAGGAAAAAAAAACTAAAAACATATCAATCGGGGCAGTACAAACATTGCACAGGGTGATTTAAGCCTCTCCCAGGACCTCGCACTGAGAGGGGCACACAGAAGACCCCAGTAATTTTCTGAAGAATAGAATGATCCTGACCATCTCTCTGCACTTCAAACTGCAGACCAGGCTATCATACGAAGCCACAGCCAGAGAGCCTATGTGTTCAAGGGCTCATTTTGCTGCTATGTGACTGCGTCTGTGCCTCCCCCACCGTTGGGGTTCAATGTCCTTATGTGTTCAATGTGGAGCTGGAGTCACCACCCTCCAACAGACCTCTGCCCTGTGCAGTCTAGAGAAGACCAGAACATCTTCAGAGTGGGTCTATTGATCCTGGAGGGTTAAAGGCCAGGTCTGATGGGGCACCTGAGTGAACCTGGCTGGCTGCCAGTTCTGAGTCCCAATCTTCTCCACCCTCACCCTTGGGCCAGCTGCCAACTCTCTGGTGCCCATTTGCTTCACTGGTCAGGACTGCCCTCAGCACTGCTCTCTGCAGGGACCAAGAGTGGGGTATGGGGGTGGGCTGGCTCTGTACTGAGCAGCCAGAGTGATGAAGCCATTGCCTGACACATCTGATTCTCCTGGGGGCCTAATTCAGGACCTTATACAAGTAACTGCTCACTGACTATGGACAAGCTTATCAGTATAAAAGGCATTCTTTTAGAAACCTCCATTTTGAAGCTTTCCTTTTCAATGAAATTTAAAGCCTAAAATACAAACACAAATGTTAAATGACAACCCCCAATTTTTTTTTTTTTTTTTTTTTTTGGTCTTTTTCCTTTTTATCGGTACCAGGGATCGAACTCACAACTGCCTGCTTTCAAGGCAGGCACTTATGCCGCTGAGCTAAACCCGCAGCCCCAACAACCCCAAATTTTATAGGCAAAAGAAAGTCTAATGTTTTGACAGAAGAAAAATAATATTTTTTACTGTAAACTACTACATTTCTATGCAAAGTTCTTCTGTCCAATTATTGAAATTAACTGAAAGCTTTTTTAGACTAGGAAGCACCTAAAACATTCTAGATTGGCTTTAGTTGCTCCTCTCCACAACTCTGTGAGTGGGTGTTATGTGCTATTAATGTACACATGAGGCTTACAAGGATGAAGATCATGTAACTAGTTAAGGGCCAGTGCTACATTTGCAACAGCTTCTCTCTAATGCCTGTATGGAAACTGCTGACAGGATGCTACAGCATGGGATCAGAGGCCAGCAGAGCCCAGCGCCAGCAAAGAAGGGGTCACTCAGCTGGCCAGCAGGGAGAGAAGAGGGTCAAGAAGTATGCACATAAGCAGTGGGGCATTCTGAGTTCCTTTATGCTAGGTCCCAATACCTTACCAGCTGCTTGTCTGCCTTGTTCTGTGTTCCTTCTCAATTCCAGAAAGATAAAAAAGTTAGAAGTAGCCTCCTTTATTAGCTAGGTATGCTGCAGAACTTAACACATAAAACACAAACCACTTTTTTCTGCACACTCTATGTGTCCCTCTCTTGGAAGGTGGCTGGACAAGGGCTATAGGACAGAGCAGGGCCCCTGGCTCAGCCCACCATGATGGAAGGGAGGGAGTGCAGACCAGCTGGAGTACAGGAGGCCAGGACGCAGGAAGATGGCAGGAGATTCAGCTCCCCCCATGGCAGTGCAAGGTAGCCAAGTAACAAGGATGCTGAGCACTAGATCAGCTCCACATTGAGAAAGTAACTCTGGGTACAGTGGCCATGTCAATTATTACCAAATTAAAATGCCTTAGAAATGGCCTCCTGGCTCTCCCAGTTAGAGAAGAATAGGGGGAGTGTTGGGGATTCTGAGTCATACAGCAGGCTGGGACCTCTGGGGCAGTCAGCGGTCAAAACCACCAAGATTAATGGACACCAAATCCCTTAGGCCAGAATAGTTAGTTTCTCTAAGGCACTCACACTCAAATGCCAAGAGGCCCCCACAGATGGCTGATCAAATCATTTAGCCCTTGTTCTTCTCTTCTGCAGCTGGTCTTTCACTGCAGAAGACTTAGTATTTCAAACACTAAGAGCACCCATTGTGCTATAAACTGACCATACAGCCCCTGGGGTTAAGAGTGAACCACACCCTCAAGAGGAAATCCAGACAGCCACACTGGAACCCAGAATCAACGCGACTTCTTCCGCTCCCCACCAGCCCCTCCTTCACTCAGAAGGACTGAAATTCAACAATCAGGCCAAGCAATGGGTTGTAAACTGAACAGTATGCATCTGGATTTGGAACCTCTTACAGATGGAGCTGATAAGCTGTGTGAGCTTGGGCAAGTGACGGAAATTTTCATTTTCAGCTTCATTCCATATGCAATGGGAATTCCCATTCCACATGAAATGGGAATCATGCCATTCCCAGGATCTGGTGTTGATGTGGCAAGAGAGCTGGCCATCTTCTCAAGTACCATGTGATGCTATATGAAAGAGGAGACAGCAGAGAGTGGCAACCAGATGAAGAAGCTCTGAGCATTTGGCTCAAACCTGTAGTAATCACAAGGGTTGATCAGGCAAGAAACAGTATATATCCCAGCTGCTTAGGAAACAGCACACTTTAAACACACAGGGATCAATTACATGTGCTAATTTAGTGCCATTATGTTCAAGGCACTCACTAGAAGAAGACTGCATATGTAGCACCTACCACGATCCCTGACAGATCATATAAAGGCAGCCAATATTACACGCTTGGGAGGACCTGCTGAAAAGTGCAGATGGGGCACTCAGCACAGAGCTCACACTGCCACTGCTTCTTCAGTTCCATCCTCTACCCTTCCTAATAAGGAGGTCCTTCTCCAATTACCGGAATTGTTTCTGAAATGACATGGCTTGAGAAATGACAGAGCAGCTTTGCTTGGCATGGGTAATCTTTTTCTGTCATTAAACATTTTCATTTCTATTTTTTTCTGAAATAGTCTTTATACAAGAAAAGTACTTAATACTGCCTTAGCCTTTGTCTCTCTTTCTTCTAGCTGCTGTCCTTCTGACCCTGTTACTCTGGCTTTGCAGGCTCTTCCTGCACTGACTTCACTGTCTTCCTCCATTCATAGCTGAGATGTGCTAACCCACTTTACTTGGACATCACTGACTCTTTACTCTCTGTGGCATCCAGTGTAGACAAGGGTTTCATTATAGCTTCTGCCCCAATCCAGCCACTTGTGATAAACCCTGAATCACTGTTAACCACTTCACAGTCTACCCTGAGCCTCATTCAGGCAGCTGTTTATGTACTGACAATCCTGAGCTTGGCTTGGGCAGGTGTCATTTTTACCAGTCAATTCTTGTTGCACAAGATACACTCATACTTGTCATTTTTACATTTCCTGATAAATCGTATAAAACTTAATGAAAAAATATGCACTTTTGGGCCAACCTATATTTAAATAACTGGACTGATAAATGGTTTAAATGCTTTCTCTCAATTTAGAAAAGGACTGTTTGCTTTGAGCCATGTGGAATTGTGGAATTTTTCAGTCTTGAAGGCCCTATTTTTTTGTTCTTGCTACTGGCAGTGCAATACCTCCAGGCCACTTTCCTGTTTGGTCTGGGTTTCTAGGACTGATGTTACTGCAGTTACCCTGCAACTCTGGTCTTGTAATTTGCCTCAGGTTGGCTGCCAGGATGCGCTACAGGAAGCTCTCCCTGCACATGAGCCTGCTGTGCACGGACAAGTCTCACAGAGACTCTCACCAGGGGCTTACTGTGACTGCTCCAGCTCAGTTTTGTTTCCGTGCTTCATTTCTTTAAAAGTAACAACACACCCTCTTTCTGGGTGGTATGAAAAGAATGAGGGAATTAACATCTACTCAGAGTATGCCAGGTGCCTGGCAGTTGATCTAATGGCCTAATGGGCTATACATAATCCTCTAAAGCAGTGCAGACCTAGACTATGGGGTTGAGAGTCCAAGTGAAGACACATTGGAAGATGCAGTGTTCTACATTTACATTATTAAAATTTCACATGATCAGGAAATTCATTTCAGTTCACATTTTGCCTGCACAGCTTGGGTAATACTAGTATTTGTGGCCATCAACAACGCAGTTGCAATCTGTGAGCGTCAGGGGAAGCCAGTATGTACAGGCAATAGGAAGGACAAAGCAGTAACCCAAGTTAATAATGGCACCAGCTGAAACAAATGGTCTTGGAGAACTGAG